TTCGGCACATTTCACAGTATTTTCAGAAGCCAAGTGAACATTTTCAGCCCTGCAATGAAAAGGCAGATAAAAAAACCACAGCAGAGAGGGATTTGGGTGTCGTTCTAGAGGATCACTGTGATTCTGCCTCCGTTTTGCACCGTTTGCACCATCGGTTAAACAGCACGAAACTGCTCAGGGTTTGCAGCCGGGGAAGCCATAAGGCAAAGCAGAGCAAACCGGAGCATTGCAGCGCTCTGGGTTTGGGGTTTCGAACTCAGAAGAACCGTCACCATCTCTAAGTGCTATGAACACAGTGGAGACATCCCAGCGGTGCGGCCAAAGCAGCTCTGCTACTTCCCAAGGGGCAAAGGATTTTCCAGAAATTCTCCCTGTGGCTGATCCTAGGTGTGTTGTATCTGGACAGACCTGTTGCTCTGATGGCACCGTGTAGCTCTTAAGCATCCCGAGGCAGATATTCATCCAACAAAAGTGTATTTTGCCGATAGAAGTGTGTTTCTACAGGAAGGCCTCCCAGGCAGCATCTCATTTCCTAGATTAGGCTAAAGCTACATAACTAAATAGAACTTATTTTAATCTGCAAATCCCATACAAGTGATTTTCAGCCAGAACACGACTTACTCAAGTCCCGAGGACAAGGACCAGGCCCGCAGCTTGCAGAGCTCATCCCAGCCTGACAAAAGGCAAATTACATTAATGGTGAAGTACGGGCACTCCTTGAAGTGCAGTGTTTAAGTAGCATTAGCTCTTCAGTGTTCTGCGGCAGGAAACAGTGGCTCTGAGAAGGTCACCACTAGACTACTCATTTTTAAACCATTACTCTGCAAATAACACCTAGCACTAGTGTGTTTGGCTATCTGTGCTGCAAATAGTGCCAGCAGAGCTAGGCACTGCACGGAAACAAGGTACCTGCTTACAGGCACCTTGAAGGAGGAGCGTGGCCGTCACTTCTGCCACTTCAGAACGACTTCAAAGGCTCACTGCCTTCTTACAATCATTTGTTTCACTCTGTGTTAATATAAATATCAACAGGAAAACCTTCCTGAGCAAGCCTGTGTGTATCTGGTGGCCTCCCACCAAAAGGAGGTGAACGTGGGCACCGTGTACGGCGTGAACCCATGGCAGCGTGGCCAGGCTCTGCGGCACAGCGTGTCTGCAGGGCCCCGCCATCCACGGAGCACAGTCAAATGAGCCATTCCCCACGGAATAAGGGGGGTAGCTGTACGGGAGCCCCCTTCCCAACTGCTTTGGAAGAGATTCTTCCATGTTTAATAGATGCCCAGGACACCTGACCTGGTGCCCAGTCACTTGCTACCTGCTCAGCCCCAGAGGGTTTCAGCCCTTACGAAGCTGAACTTCCCCCTCAGCTCTACAGAGGCTCCAGCTGAGAGCAGCAGACAAACAACTCCTGGAATGCAGGGAAGATTTTCATGGGCTGCTGCTGGCATCTTCAAAGGGGGCCTCAAGCAGGTGCACCCATTCCGCCGCCTCTCACAGGGATCGGGAAGGTGCAATTCCCTTAGGCTCCTTGGAAAATTGCAGCCTATTATTAGTCACTGCCAGCCCCTGGCAGCAAAACAGTCGCTCTTCATTATAATATTTTAATACTTGGAAGTGCTAATTGAGGTTAAGCTCAGGTTGTGCCAGGAATGCTAAAGGCGTCCAAATGGAAATCTCCTGTAAATAACGGAGCGTTTCGGGAGCAGGTGGGTGTGCGGAGCCGGGCGGCTGCCCCGCGCCCCTCCGTAGGGCAGCGACTCGGGCCCCTGGCCGGCGGCAGCGCCTTCGTTCCCCCTCGGCAGCGCGGGGATGAGCGGCGCCGGCCTGCCCTGCTCCACGACCCGGGATATAGGGAACCCTTCCCATCACACGGGTTTTTCCTTGTTGTTTGTGAGGAAAGCGCAGGATTCGTCCAGCTACGCAGACAGGAACCTCATCAAACTAGACCATTTCCATCGCTATGGGCAAGATAAGTATTTTTCCAAGTAGAAGCCAGGACATCTTCCTGGTTACGACTGCTAGAACAAGCAGGAAGGTGTCCCCTGTTCTGGGGACTCCCGTTTGGGGGGTTTCTGCTCTCACAATCCATGGGGCTGCTGTTCCCGGCTCCCAGCCCGCCCTTGGCCAAAGCAGTTTCCCTCCACCCTTCCCCTCCAGCCACAGGAGCGCTGGTTGCAGAGCTAACGGTGGAAACACTGTTCCAAAAACAACCCCACGAGGACTTTTTTTTCCCAGATTTTCAAATAAATTAGTGATTAAATCACCCCATGCCTGCCATCCTTCTGTCTTTTTTTTCCTTCTTTCTTGAAAAATGAATGGAAAAGGAAGAGACTACAGTTAGATATTTCTTCCACTTAAAAACAGTGAGGCATTCTGAGAAATCAAGATGTTAAGTTTGTTAAATTAAGCTGCGAGGCTTAATTTGGAATCATTTTTATATTAAGAACATTGCTCACAGGAGCTGCAGCCTGGGGACTCTGGGCTCCCGGGCATCTCACTCAATGCAAAACGAAGCACTCCACTTTGGATCAAAAATAATCCAAAACCAAATTTCATTTCTCTTTGAAATGAGCAAATTTTCTGAAGGATTTCTTTTGGTGAAAATAAAAATAAAATTACATCTCACATGTTCTATTCTTACAGGAAAAGTCTTACCGATTTACCAGGGAAGTAAAGCTCTAGCCTGAGCTTTTCAATAAGAAACAAGGTTTCAAACAGGTCATCCAGGAAAAAAAGAAAAGCACAAAAACCACCCCCAATGACTTAACCATTTGCATCAAAGGACCATCCTCACCAGCTTGGCTAGGCTGTGTTACAGCACAGATTGGGAAATGTATTTTTAACTACTTGAAAGCCTGGAAGCACTGCGCATCTAAAGATCAGCCATAGGCTTCAGGGATGAATTTAACGAAATTACTGGGAAGAGCAGCCCAGGGAATGAGAGCTGCTGGACCTGGGGGTTATTGCGGGGCCGCCGCGCTCCCGCGGACGGTGCCGGCGGGATCAATAACCTGGACCTGCCTTCGGAAACGCTGCGCTGCGAGAACCAGCTGGAACGGGGGGCAGAGCGGTGGCACTTGTGCAGGGTGACGTGGGGACTTGTGCAGGGTCCCTAATGAAGAAGTGAAGGGGTCTAAGCTGCTGACGGCCGCATTACCCGCGCGGAGGCACCGGACAAGCCCCGCGCTCCCTTCCTAAACCCTCTCTGCAGCATCGCCCAAAGAGGCTCCTCGCAGCCAGCCCACGAGCTTCAAATGCCACCCCTTTAGTGAGGATTTGCAGTTCTTGACTAACAGCCTGGAAAAGGGAGTTTTAAGCGTCCAAGTTTAATGCTGCAGTGACAATTTTTAATGTCAGCTTCTAAACAGCTTGGAAGGAGAAGTCAGGAACAGGTACTAATTCATCCCTCTTACGGACAATAAAATCAACAATCAAGTCCAAATCAGTGTTTTCCCCACGAAAGGAATGCTAGAGAGGAGTGCAGAAGCCCCAGGGAAGCTCTGCTCTGGTAGCAGCTCTTCCTCTGCCTGGTTTGCACCAAGTGGGGCTGCACCCCTCACCAAAAGGCAGTTTGGAGGCTCCTGCGTGACTACGGGGATAACTTGTAAATCCAGCGTCCAAGGGCGCTTAAAATACCAAAGAAAAACACTGCTAGAGCAAGAAATCCAGCTTATATTTTGCTTTCAAAGGGGAGAAAACTCCTCGTTATTATTAAAAAGGCAGATTCACCTCCCTGTTAGCTCTAGCGCACGGCGCTGCGGAGCCGCAGACCGTCCCGAATGATTTATAACCCCAGTAATCACAGTGGAAGTGTCACCTGTGGAGACAGGCTTGGTTTCATAAGCTGCACATCCACCCTCTGCCTTCAAGCTAATACTGCTACATTTCCTTCTCCTTCAAAACACAAATTTTATATAAAATACGGCAGTAATGTTCAAGCTATATTCAAAGCATTAAAGCAATATTCAAGCATTTAAAGACACTCAGGAGAAGTGGCACAGGATAAGATGACAATTTCCAGAGAAAGGAAGGAATAAAACAGGGACAAATTTTGTGCCTGGGTAATATTAATGTCCCTGAGAGTATGTTCACCAAGAAAATTAAATAGCCTGAAGTACTTAAGAAAGGTGGATTTTCCATCTTTGGTACAGAGGCACTAAGCTATTGGGGTGGTACCTTTTCCTGCTAGTGTTTTATCCGGATTTGACATTTTGCCACGTAAGAATTTAGTTATATTTACTCTGTGTACAGAAGAGTATCTGTGTCCATACCAAATATTTTTCCCAGTTGACCAAGTTGGACAATATTTCAGTAAACTGAGAGCTGCTCCTTCAAACCAAAGTGAGACAGAGGACAGATACCGGCTATGTGAATAAGGGATGTATCATTTAAGTGCCTTTTTTTTCCCTTTTAGCATATAAACACGAGCACAACTCGTCACACTTCATTGCAGAGGGGGAGAATTCCTTACCAGCAGTCACTTTCCAGTCTAACATTGTGCCCATCCACCAGTGACTGGCAGATGCTCTCGCCTTTTGTACTTGCAATAAACTGGAAGTCACCACGCGGGCACTGCTGTGTCTGCAGGAGCTGGAATCTACCAGTTATGATTCATCATCTGAGCACCCAGAAGCATTATCTAAATAGAGGATCCTGTAACTTGACGTGCAACATGTAACCCTGTGGGTTTCTTTTTTTTTTTAATTTACAAACAATAATGGACAGATTTTTTTGTATTTTCTCCTTCTAATCATTAAAAGCTCATTTTCTCAATACCAGCGCCTTGCTATGTGCAGGGAAGCTGAACCCGCCATTTTTTGTTCCCAACTGCCTAATGACTAGATTTTTTATATTCAATACTAAAGTTTAAAGAATGACGTTTTGGTTACTCCAAAAAGCGATGATGGGGGGCAAAACCATGTTAAAAAAAATCCTTTCTAAGCAACCTCCTATTTTTGTCTTGGCAGGCTGTCGTATCGGACCGGTCAAGACACAGCGAACTGCGACACGTGCAGGAACAGCGCATGTATCATCTATAGGTGAGTCAAACACTTCCCATTGAGCAAAAGCAAGGCTTTATTCAGGTATTCCTTAATGCAAGACCAAATGTTACCCTTGATGAAATTATTTTAATAACATGAAAACAGTTCAAAGTAAATTTTCCTTCGGTAAATTCACAACATTCAACAAGAGACTGTGTCAATATTGACATTAAAAGACAAGGAAGGAATGTGGAGCTGCTGGAGAGAGTCCAGCGATGCAGGGGGGTTGGACTAGATGATCTCTAGAGGTCCCTTCCAACCCTAAGCATTCTATGATTCTATGATTCTATGATTCTATGAAGGAAGGAAGGAGGAGAATAGGTTTATGTTAGAGGACGTGTGTGGGGCTCATTCAGGCCTCGTTGCAGTGCACACCAGGACAAGCTGTTGTGCTCAGCACCACCGTGGAGCTCACGGATGGGCCGACATCATTTCCATACAGCTAAAGATATTTGACATCTTCTGCCCAACGCTTCAACGTACTTCCCATTGCTTTTTGCAACAGCAAACTATCTCACTTTAAAGTTCCGGAATTCCTGCTCGATATGGACGACTGCAACAGGATGCGTGTGGGAAGCAGGAAGGGCTCCCAGGCCGAGCAGCAGGTCGCTCTCGGCCGTATGAAGCCCTGCAGAAAGCCCTGCCCAAGGGCCTGGGACGGCCGAGCCCCGGCCAAGCCCGCGAGCCCTCAGCCCCATGCCCAAGTTTGCAGCAGAGTCAGGATTATCCTCCTCTAGCAGGTTCCATTGTACCCTTAGAGCAAACAAAACTAATGCAGAAATGTGAATTTGAGGTGTTTCCCTGCACAAACACTGCCAGCGGGTTTGGGAGCCCTGGCTGTTCCCATCTCCTGCTGCAACAGCCCTTTGGACGGAAGCTTTCAGTGCTTGGCATTCGCCTACGGCATCGTTTCCAGTGGGGATTTTAGCAAAAATCCAGCCCAGCTCCAACAAGAGAGGGGATGGGGCTCTGCAGGCGCCAGCGCAGAACGGGGGCAGCAGGGGACGGAACCAGGAGGACACAATAAAGCAGAATTCACTGACAAAACCAGCGCCAGGACAGAGGCCTGGCAGGGCCACCTCCCTGTCCCCGATGCTGCATGGGGACGAGGTGGCTCGTGCCCCGCGACGGCGTAGCCCTTTGGACAGAAGCTTTTGGTGCTTGGCATTCGCCTAAGTCATTGTTTCCAGTGGGGATTTTAGCAAAAACCCAGCCCAGCTCCAACAAGAGAGGGGACGGGGCTCTGCAGGCACCAGTGCAGAACGGGGGCAGCAGGGGACGGAACCAGGAGGACAAAGGGGGATAAAGCAGAATTCACTGACAAAACCAGCGCCAGGACAGAGGCCTGGCAGGGCCACCTCCCCGTCCCCAATGCTGCATGGGGACGAGGCGGCTCGTGCCCCGCGACGGCGCTCGAGCCGCGTCCCGACGGAGCAGAGCAAGAACCGCACGGACACCGCGCGGGGGACGGTGACGCGACCCAGCGCGACAGCCACGGAGCTCTGCGTGCAAGAAGACTAAAGCGACTACAGGACTCCACATCCTAAAGCCTAAAAGGGATTCTTCCCATTCTAAAGCCCAAAAATGCATTTTTAACAATACGGCTCGTTTGCATACAAAATTTCCATTTTGGGGTTCCAAATCTATTTTTATATGATTTTTATCTTTTCTGTTGATTTGGAAAACAACACATATTTACATATTTCCTGGTATCAAAGAAAAAAAGGAAAATTATTAATTTATTTTTATTTTATTTTAATTTATGAATTAATAAGAAACTGAGCAAGTCTCTTATTTTGTTGTAATAAGAAGCCCTTACTTGACACATTTGAGCAAAAACAACAGTGCTTTTTCAGAGTCTAGTAGCATCGTAGGAGGCTGCTGGAGGAATCACCCCAAAGGTTTGTTTTAAAGGCAACGGATCACAGGACAGGCCCGGTCTCCTCCGGGTAGCATGGACTGTGCTACATCTCACGGAGCTGCAGGCCCAAATCGCGGAGGAGTGCCA